TCCCTTTCTCCTCCCCCTCCCCTCCTCCCTCCCCTCCTCTGCCCTCCTCTCTTCTCTTCTCCCATTCTTTCCCCTTCCCTCCATTCTTCTCTCCTTTATCTCTGTCTTTTTTTTGAAACAGGGTCTCTTGCAGCCTGGGGCCTGGCCTTGAACTTGCTGTGTAGCTAAGAATAGCCTTGAACTGCTGATCTTCCTGCCTCCACCTCCCAAGTGCTGGAACTTCAGGTATGTGCCACCACACCTGATTTATATGGAGCTGGGGGTCAAACCCAGGGCTGGCTTCATGCATGCTAGTAAGCACTCTACCAGTTGAGCTAATCCCTAGCCGCCCCTCTACTAATTTTTTTTAACCACATGAAAATAGAGGACTCTGTATTTTCATTTTATGTGTATGAGTGTTACACCTGCATGTATGTAAGTACACTCGTGTTGTGCATTGCCCAGTTGGTAACTGCCATGTGGGTTCTGGGAATCCAACCTTGGTCCTCTGGAACAGCAGCTAGTTCTTAACTGCTGAGCTATCTCTCCAGCCCTTTTGTGGCTTTTTTTTTTTTTTTTTGAGACAGGATCTCCCTGTAGCCCCAGCTGGCCTGGAACTCACTATGTAGACCAGGTTCACCTTGAGCTCACAGAGATTTGATTGCCTTTGCCTCCTAGTGCTGGTGTGTGCCACCATACCCAACTCTGGTTTGGTTTTGTTTTTGTTTTGTTTGTTTTTGGTGGTTTTGTTTTTTTTTTTCTTTCGACAAGGTCTCCCTAGTCCCAGCCCGCCTGTTAGTCACTATGTGGACCAGGCTGGCCTTGATCTCATAGAGATCTGCTCTGTCTCCCAAGGGCTGGATTAAAGGCATGCCCAGCATTTCCAGCCCCCCCTTTTTTTTTTCCACTATGCAGCCCTGGCTGGCCTGGAATGCCCAGAGATTTACCTGGGGCTACAGGGAGACCCTGTCTTTAAAAAAAAAAAAAAAAAGAAAAGAAATCCAGCAGAGGCAGAGGCAGAGGCAGGTGGATCTCTGCAAGGTGGAAGCCAGCCTGGTCTACATAACAGAGTTCCAGGCCAGGTGAGACTACAGGGAGACCCTGTCTCAAAAAGACGAAAAAAAAAGGAAACTGGCCAATCCCAGCACTTGGGAGGCAGAGGTAGGTGGATCTCTCTGTGAGTTCAAGGCCAGCCTGGTGTACCTGGCTACTGGGAGACCCTGTATCAAAAAGACCAAATAAAATATAATTAATAAATTAATAAATAAATATAAAAATTTATAAAAGGAAAATAGATTTTCCATTTCCTCTCTGGAACCTCTCAGGAGCTACACCCCACTTCTTGTACTGCTCCCTGGCCAGCTCTTAGAAACCCCAGGAAAGTTCAGGGTACTGGACTAAGTGTGCCTTTTCTGGACTCTTCCCCCATCTCCAATAGCTTTCTCCATGCCACTTTGATCTCTATTGAGTGCTGTCTTGAAAACGGCCTCTTCCCCTCCCAGGCCTTCCATGTTTGTCTCCACAACATTGACTTTACTGCTGTTCTTATTTGCTGCCTGTCCCTCTGCTCCTCTGTCCTCAAGGGTGTGCCAGGCTCCATGGTTTGGTCCTCCTAGGTATCCCTAAGTGCCTTCCACAGAGAAGGTTCTCAGTAAACCTGTGGGGGTTTGTTTCCAGACCTAGAGCCTTGCTTGTTCTAGATGTGTTTTCCCACTGAGCTACATGCCAGCTCAATCTTTTGATTTTGAAGCAGAGCCTCATGTAGCCCTGACTATCTTTTTGAGACAGGGTCTCCCTGTAGCCCCCATCTGGTCTGGAACTCACTAAGTAGATCAGGCTGGCCTTGATCTCACAGAGATCCACCTGCCTCTGCCTCCTGAGTGCTGGGCTTAAAGGCGTGTGCCACCATGCTCAGCCTGGCTGCTTTTTCAATATTTTAGAAAGGGCCTCCATGTGTGGCCCTTCATTCAGCCTCATGAATGGTGAGATGACAGGCTTGCGCCACTGTGCTCAGGAATTCTGGTTCCAGTGGTGAATCACGGAGCTAGACCTAGTGGGGTGTGAGGGATCGCTTGCTGTCTTTGAGCCCCTCCAAGGCAGAAGTGATAGCTGTGTGGCAGCCCTGCCCCAGGCTGTTGTCCTGCCAGCTGTTCTAGGCTATTCTTGGCTGGTGTGGCCTTAGTCCAGGAACGTTCCTCTGGCAGGCAGGCAGGCAGGCAGGCACACAGCCCTGGGAGAGGACGCTCACAGTGGGGAGGACGCTCACAGTGGGCAGACTAATGGGCCCTCTCCCTTCCTTCTCTCTTCCAGGCTCCCGGGAACAGGATCAAGGCCAGAGAGACGATGGTCTCGGTGACTATGGGTAAGTCTGGTCTCCCTTGTTGGGCCCCTTCTCCCCACTGCCCTTTCTGAGGTCTGGCCTGAGTCTAGGGATGTTGGTGGGGGAGGGAGAGCTGCTAACTGGCAGGAGCAGCTGTGCTCTGATGAAGTGGGGGTGGGACTGGAGCCTGTGCAAGCTTGGGGCTCCTTCCCTGAGTTGGGCCTGAAAAACTCAGTAAAGAACTCAGGCAGCTCCCCCTCCAGACCTGCCAGAGCCTCAGTTCCTACCGGTGTGACAGATGGTAGTTCTGAGTCTCTGAGTAGCAGATTGTGGCATGTCAGATCTCAGACCCAGTGTCAACTGTTGTGATTGGAAGATCTGGCCCCAGATACCCTCCTTCTGAGACATAGTCTCATATTAACCTAGGCTGGCTTCCAACTTGACGTATAGCCAAGAATGACCTTGAATTCCTGATCTTGCCTCTACCTCCCTAGTGCTGAGATTGCAAGTGTGAATCATTATGCCTGGCTATTTCTACCCTCCCTCCCTCTCTTTTTTTTCTGGTAGATGGAGTCTAGCTGTGTAGCCCAGGCAGGCTTTAAACTCCTGATTATTGGGGTACAGGTGTGCACCCCCACATCCGCTTCCTAGTTTTCTTTAAACTCTTTTGAGATTGCCAAGGCACAGAGATCAGGTGGTGGCTTAGGAAAATGTTGAGATTTATTATACATCTTGGAAAATCCATAAAACATTTGTTTGGAATTCAGAGCAACCAAAAAGCAAACATCTAGTTGGGCCTGGGTTTTGAGTTTACATGAACAAAATCCTGCCATGTGTTGTTTTGTGTCTGACTGCCTTTGTGCAGCATGATATTTGAGAGGCACCTGTGGAGCTAAACATAGCTATTGTCCTTTTCACTGCTGTGTACTGTTCCACACATTTGTCTTGGATGCCACTGTCAAAGGATATTGCTTAGGACTGGAGGTGTAGCTAAGTGGTAGAGTGCTTGCTTAGATATCACCAGTGAGGGGCTGAGAGTGTGATGCAGTGGTTTAGTGCTTGCCTGGAATTTAGAAGTGAGTGTGACTCAACATTAGAGTAGACCTCTTTTTTTTTTTAAATTTAATTTTATTTATTTTGTATGTGTTTGTGTGGGTGGAGGGCAAAGGACAACTTGCAGTAGTAGGTTCTGTTCTTCCACCCCATGGTCCCAGTGATCACATTCTGGTGGTCAGGCTTAGCAGCAAGTGCCTTAATCTGTTGACTCGCTCACCAACCTAAGTACACTTTGCAAATACTAACCAGAAAAAATAGAGTAGACCTCTTAACTGCCATGCATAAGGCCCTGTGTTCCATTCCTAGTACATAAACAAAAAGCATATTTCTTTGTTCTGGGTTAGGTGCCTGTAGCGAATGGTTGAAGATTTCTCCTGGTTCTGTGTGCAGTAGCCTCATCTCCAACCCTTCACACGTTGTCACACAGTGTAACATCCTGAAGGGGACGGCATCTTTTTAGTTTGTTTTATTTTCTTTGGAGATAGTGTCTCTCTCTTAAGCCTTGGCCTAGAGTCACTCACTGTGCAGTAAGGACTGTCCTCAAATTCACTGCCTCAGAGTCCGAAGTGCTGGGAGTAGTGAGCCACATTGCCCAGGTTTTTTTTTTTCTTTTTTTAAAAATACTATTTTTATTTTATGTGTATGAGTATATTGCCTGCATGTATGTTAGTGCATCCATGTCATGCAGTGCCCACGGAGATCGGAAGAGGGTGTCGGATTCCCTGGAACTGGAGTTATGCATGGTTGTTAGCTGCCATATGGGTGTTGGGAATCAAACCCAGGTCCTCTACAAGAGCAGTCAGTGCTTTTAACTGCTGAGCCACCTCTCTAGCCTCCCTCTTTTTTAAAAAAAATATTTTTATTTATGTGTATATTTGTGTGTATGTGTGAATATATGTCTCCTGTGTGTGGGTGCCCACAGAAACAGAGGGCTTTGGATCCCCTGGAGCTAGAGTTATAAGGTGGTTTTGAGCCTGGCAACAGAACTCGGGTCCTCTAGAATAACAATACATGGCTCCTAATACCTGTGCCATCTCTCCAGCCCCCATCTACTTCTTCACAGCCAGTGCTTAGGACAGTTTAATTGACCAGATACTTGCCTTTTCTCAGAAGTATGTAACACAATGATGTGTGCCCAGTATAGAGACTTTTTCAGCTCCTCAGACAGTGGGCTTCAGTGGTCATAGTCAAAGCAACAGGCTTTGTTGGGCTTGATGGTACATACCTGTAATCCTAGTACCTGGGAGGTAGAGCCAGGAGAACCAGGAATTTGTGGCAGAGGCAGGGTTTGAACAGGGGTGAGGCTCCTGAGTCTGTGTTGATAACTTTTGTGCCTCTCCCTGAAGCTTGGCTGCTCCTTGCTGGAGCCCAGTGCTAGCTCCTGAGCCTGGACTCCCCAGTGGGCCAGGGGCTGAGACTCAGGCTCTGTTTCCTGCAGTCACTCGCTGGCCAGGCATGGGGCTTAATGCCAGGGCAGGCTGAAGCTATAAGGACAAGGTCAAGGCTTGAGACCATCATGCCCTGCACATTGCCCTGCTCTCCTGCCCCAGTCGGGGTGTGTGTGTGTGTCAGTACCTCACAGGTGGCAGGGGGCTTGTTCCATCCTGAACTGAGAGCTCATAGCCAAGGCCTGGCATTTATCAGGCTTTTAATGTGTGGAAGCCACTGCTGTTGCGGTCCACTGTGAATGACTGTTGTGTCCAACCCCCAGCCACTTCCGAATGGATCCAGTTCTTCAAGGAAGCCGGCATTCCTCCGGGACCTGCTGTTAATTACGCTGTGATGTTTGTGGATAATCGGTGAGGAGACAGGGTGAAGTGGGCATGGGGAGGTGGTAGTGGACAACCAGGGCCTCACCACTGCCCTCCCCTGCAGGATCCAGAAGAGCATGCTGCTGGATCTCAACAAGGAAATCATGAATGAGCTGGGTGTGACTGTGGTGGGTGACATCATTGCCATCCTTAAGCACGCCAAGGTGGTGCACCGCCAGGTGGGTTCTCTTCCATGCCCCTTGCTCTCTGGGTTTTGTGTAGGACTGGAGGGGACTGTTGCAGAGCCACTAGGAGGCTTGACAGGAAAGGCAGCTGTGGTGTTCTGAGGCCAGGTCAGCTCTTTGCTGTGTGATATTGGGCATGTTCCTGAGTCTTCCTTTTACCAACTCCTCTGTGTAGTGAGACAAACCTTTTTTCTGTTCTTTTTCCATTTTTCATATGTGTGTAATATCGACATGTATGGGTGCCCATATGGGTGTGGGAATGTGTGTGCTTTCATGCGTGTGCACGTGGAGGTTGCTACTGGGCGTCATCCTTACTTGCTCCTCCACCTTTTTTTTTTTTTCGGTCTTTTTGAGACAGGATGTCCCTGTAGCCCCAGCTGTCCTGGAACTCACTAGACCAGGCTGGCCTCGAATGCACAGAGATCTGCCTGCCTCCCCCCCATACAACTGCGAGATGCTCTGATTAGACTTCCTCAAGCAAGAGGCATCAATTCATTTTGAAAATCGCAGAGCAAAACATTGTATCTTTTTTCTTTAAATTTTTTTTAATGATTTATTTTTATTTGTACAAGTATTTGATTGTTAATATACTTACTGATATGTGTGTAATGCCCAGAAAGGCCAAAAGAGAGCGATAGAGCTGCTGTGTCGGTGCTGGGAGTGGAACCTGGGTCCTTTGGAAAAACAGCAAGTGCTCTTAACTCATGAGCCGTCTCTCTAGCCCTTCTTTAATTTTTTTTTTTTTTAATTTCTTCTTCTTCTTCTTCTTCTTCTTCTTCTTCTTCGTATTTTTTGGTCCTGGAACTCACTATGTAGACCAGGCTGGCCTTGAACTCACAGAGATCTGCTTGTCTCTGCCTCCCCAGTGCTGGGATTAAAGGTGTGAGCCACCACACCCGGCTATAAAGTTTTTTCTTTTAATATTTAATTTGCTTGTGTGTGTGTGTGTGTGTGTGTGTGTGTGTGTATCATGTATATGTGGATGTGCATGGTGTGGAGGTCAGAATACAACTTTGTGGAGTTGGTTCTCTTCTTCTAGCTGTATATGAGCTGAGGGATTGAACTCAGGTTGCTTAGGTTGTCAGGCTTTTGTGGCAAGTGCTTTGACCTGCTAAGCCATCTTGCCAGCCTGGGAGTAATTTTTGATTTCTAAAAAAGTTCTAAGCTGGGCATGATGGCACATGCCTTTAGTTCCAGTACTTGGGAAGCAGAGGCCAGCAGATCTCTGTGAGATTGAGACCAGCCTGGTCTACATAACGAGTTCCAGGGCAGCTGGGGCTACAGGAAGACTCTGTCTCAAAAAGTAAATAATAAATAAATAAATGGGGGCTGGAGAGATGGCTCAGCGGTTAAGAGCACTGACTGCTCTTGCAGAGGACCCGGGTTTGATTCCCAGCACCTGCATGGTGGCTACGGACTGTCCTTAACTCCAGTTCCAGGGGAAATCTGAAGCCCTCTTGTGACCTCTGTGGCATTGTGCAACACAGGTGCACTCACATACATGCAGGCAATATACTCATATACATAAAATAA